CCCTAGTAGCAGATACAACCACGTACTATGTAGGGCGATGACGATGAGAGTGAATGATTTCGCGACCATGACCACATGGATCTGCACAGCATTTAGCAGTTCAAATGGGTTAATTAACACTTCTTCCCCCCATGTAGCTTTAGTTGAAACACTCTTTTCAAATGCAGCTTACAGCTTGCTCCCTTCCTTGCCCCTAAACCCCTTAAACCTCAAAACCCTGTACGTTGAAGCAGATCTACTTCAAAACACCGGCACTAAACCCCGCCTTTCTACACCCACACATACCCTGTGGCACACAATCCTGAATTTTTAATGCTATGGTTCACAAGGCACCTCCAATACTCCAGGATTGTCGGCAGAACTNNAAACCAAAAGACGGCCAGCCCAAACGATTCAGTGGCGACCTAGATACCCTAAACCCTTTATAAGCCGGTTTAGACATACGTTGGCTGACCTGTTAGACCGTTAGACCCCCATGAACCCTAGGGTAAACTATACAGCGTATATATACGTATATATTGTAGGTTGACCCTATAACCCGGCCTATATAAACCCGGCTATAGCTATAAGGCGCTAATCTATAAACCATATGCACATTAAAAGCTCGATCAACATAACCCTTCCTCAATTGCATGGGTCTGAGGCTGGCAAACAAGCTGCGACAGTGGTCCGCTACAACAGGACACTGCTGACTTTTACAGGCTCTGTATACATGAAGAGATGCGCCCTGAATTGTAATTTCGCCAGCCAGACTTCCAGAAGCCAATCGTAGTGATGATGTCAGTTCCGGGGTACCACCTGCGAGGGGCGCAATGTATAAATTGTCACGGATGGGTTTGCAAACTGAGAGCATGCATAGCTGATTTCAAGCGCGAGCGTAGCACTGATCCCCGGCTAGCTTGCAACGTGTATATCACACGTGTGGAACTAAAGGCCCTGCAGCGAGATGCAAGGTTCACGGCACTCAAATTGATATGTCCTGTTATGGTCATACTACCGTGTTATTGCAGATCTAATGCGCTACCAGGGGCTAGCATAAAGCCACAGACAGGACATAAAGGATCGATCAGGTGCATCCACTTCGCTGAAGCTCAGTTCGTTTCTTTGTAAGCCTTAGATAGACAAAGGTGGCAGGCAATAGGCAGGGTAGTTGGGCTTTAAGGGATTGAGCTATGCTAGCCTAGAAGCTGCACGGGCCAACGACCTGCAATCCTCCTCATCCTTGCCTTCATCTCGAGCCTGTTTCAGGGCCTTGTGGTAGGCCCCGCTTTTGCGGGACATCTTGGCCTTGTAGTTGCTGTCATCTAGGCAAGGGGCCCGGTAAGAGCTAGTGGCTTTGCTTTTGGCAACAGCTTTCCTGACAGTAGGCTTGGCCTTGGGAGCACTCGATGGGGACTTCTTGGCTTTTGGGGCTCGCTTCGGGCTGGCTTTGGGGGCTGGGCTGCGCCTGCCCTTGGCTGTGGGGGCTGGGGAGCTCTTGCCCTTTTTCGCACACTTGGGCCCAGCAGGCTCAGTTGCAGCTCTCTTTGAAGATCGCTTCTTCAAAGCGTGGCCAGCATCATCATCATCATTGTCATCTGCAGGCTTTGCAGCCTTGGACTTCTTGGCACGCTTCTTTCCCTTGCCTTTGCCAGGCTTCCTTCCCCTTGGTTTAGGGACTTCCTGCATGCAGGGGCTCAAGAACTCTTCCGCCTTCATAGCCTCCCATCCCTCAGGTCTACCAAACCTGCGAGCCATTTCCTCTTCCCCAATCCAAAGATCACGCGAGCCATCACCAGCCTTTGACACGGAGGGCAACGATTCTGAGTCTGACGGCTGAATTTCTAGCGAAACCCCATCATCATTGTCATCTTCAGGCCGGCCCTCAACCTCATCACAGCCCTCTTCCCACTCCTCATCAGAAGACTGAAATCCCCGACTCCATTGCTCATCCCACGCAAGCAAGAAGTCAGACGAACCCTCATAGTGCATGGTCGTATCCTCGGCATCATCATCGCTAGGAGGCTGACTGGCCAACAGCTCTGCCACCTTCTCAACATCTTCTTCTCTGCCAACCTTTCGCTTGCGAAGATGGGTCGTAGACTCTACAGGCACTTCGGGAGGGGTGGAGTTGCTACGCACTGGCGTGGCAACAACTGCTGGCACATTACTTTGCTCAAGCATCTTGGCTTGCTTGCGCCTTTGCATTTCGCGATCGAGGATTTGCTTCACACGGGCTGGTGCTGATAGAGGCTTCTGCTCCACATGCATCACTGGGGCTACGGTGTCCACTGCCTCCTCCACGGTAGCTGTACTCGGGGGAGCCACAACTTCTATTCCCGGCAACACACTTGTTTGGGAGCTTTCTGGGCTTGGCACACGACGTGTAGCTGCGCTAACGCTATCAACTTCCATGCCCGGGTTTGCAGAAAGTGAGCTAGCTGCACCTGCGGTAACTGCTGGAGGGGTAGCCGCAACTTCTGTTCCCTTTGCCCCACATACCATAAATGGAGTAGCTGGACCAGAGGTACCTGCTGTAGCCACAACTTCTATTCCCGGGTTTGCCGAAAGTGGGCTAGCTGCACCTGTGGTAACTGCTGCTGGGATAGCCGCAACTTCTGCTTCCTTTGCTGAGCTTGCTACACTGGGAGCCCATGAAGAGTTCAAAGAGGCAGAGGTCTCGGTAGCAGCTGAAGGGAGGCTTCCCTCCTTCTTCCCATCGACCATAGCTACCTAGGTCAATTGAGAACCAAAGGCCCCTCTCCTGTACATATAGATCGCTAGCTTAAGAAACCTGATTTGTAGCAATGTTGCCGCAGGAAAAGCCGCCTCCATGGCATCCAGATCCATCGGGACAGTCTCCACATTGTCCAGGCCTTGCCAAGCTGGGTGTATGGTTTCCCTAGGTTACAGGGTTGTAGCCGTACTTAAGCTAAGCTTCATCCAGTATAGGTGGGGATGGCAGGCGCTAGCTTTTGCAGCTCGTAGAGGGCGTTGAGCTTCTTTCTCAACTCCAGCAACTCAGCCATCTTGTTGAGATTCTGTAGCAGCTCGATGCCTTTTGCCTAGGTTGGGAAATGGGTTTTGTAGGGGTAGTTCTATACTGTATATTGCAGTACACCATATACCCCAAATAGATCATTCGAGTCACCTGGGCCATACCGCTGGGAACAACTTCAGGCAAGGTCTTTGGAGGGGTCATCACAGCCGGAACAATACCTACGCGTTGCAAAAGGCAAGGGTGGAAATGAGGGCTGCTTATCAGAAAATAGGATCGAAATCATGGGCCTCGGGATTCAAGCGGGGTCGTGCATATCGCCCTGGGGGTGCTAGCTGGGGTTGCCGTTGCACTTGCAGGTTCTTCAGTGACCGCAACTCCAGCATCCACAGTCTCAATGCCAATGGCAATAGTCGAAGTTTCAGCCTGGGCCCAGGAAACATGGGGTCTTAATGATGCCACACAGTTTACACTCGATCTAGCTAATATTGTAGTTTAGGAACCTTCTTCTCCACACTTTCAGGAAGCGCAGGGTCAGGAAGCACTGGGTCAAGACGTGCCAAGTCAGAAGCCATGTCACCTTAGATAGTACGTAAGTATGGCCAGTGCCTGCTTGGAGGTGGTTACCTATCTATAGATTATTTCAAGAGTAGCCACCTTCAACCACTTCGTCATCAGTGGCATCATGCTCCGACTCTCCTCCTTCGTCCTCCAAATCTAGATCACTACATGATCCATCCTCCGCTTCACCAGAGTTTGGTTCCACCACTAGGCCGACTTTGCCCATTAACCTGCGGATCGCCTCCTCACGAGGAACATGTCCCCGGCGCACTATGAGGTTGAACAAACTTACCATGCGGCGCAAACTCCATCCCTGGGTGTAAACCGAAGCACCTAGGCCCACACACACAGACATGTAATGACATGTAGGTGCAATAACATCCATGGGAAATCTGCAAGTAATGGTACATATGCAGCTAATGGTTGAGATGAGGAACCCGGCACAGGAATCTGCATGAGGTCATAGAGAGCCTTCACGTGCAGCATGCATGTCTGCACACTGGGTCGCATTCCCAAGTTTTGCAGCGTCGGGCCCAGCACCAACTCATTTGTGACGATGTTCTCCCGCGTTGTCCCCTGCCCAGATACTTGCACCTAGGAATTCCGAAGTGATCTCTTGCGATGAAGTACATGACCATTCTTAAGCATGAATTGTATAATTGCGAGTACAAGCAGCAAGCTGTAGCTTCTGAGCTAGCCTCCGCAATTCTGGAATCGACTCCCATTCATGGGCAAGATCGGTAGCCATGGCTGCTGTTGCCACTAAAAAAATTCACCCCAATCCTGAAACAATTTGAGCCCTGCCACATATATTGCAAGAACTCAACCAGAAGCGCATATAACAACTGAAGATCTCTAGAAGCAGGGGAGAGGGCGCACCATCCTTCGCAGGCAATCTCCATGCCATCGATGTCGGCGGATGCGATGAATGATTGGGGTTCTAGATGATACTAGCTAGGGTCTGGAGTATAGCCAGGGTTTTTGGGTTCAGCTAGGATAGGGGTTGGAGATTTAAAGTACAGAGGGCCTTTGAACTTCCCAGGGTAGCTAGGGTTTGGGGTTTAGCTAGGGCAGGGGTTGGGGATTTAGCTACATGGCCTTTTAACCTCCTAGGGTAGATTGAGGGCTTGTTCGGCTGAATCTATCAAATGCGAGCCACTGGGCCCTTGCGCACAGCACATTCACATGATTCCCAGAAATCCATAGAAAACAATACGAACCTCTGAAAACCAGTTTTTTCATTCAAACCCACAGAAACTAATCGAGGAAGCCAGAACTAGGCAACAACACAAACAGCAAGAAATTAGTTCTCGAACGAACTTCCAGG